AGCTCATTATTTATTTAGGAGTATCTGCATTTATATGAAAGATGATCCCCGTGATGCTGGTTTAGCAGTTGAGGATTTCTTGGGGAAAAGAGGCCATGGAGCCAGGGCTGCTGCAAGGGGCTGTTTCAGTGCCCAAGTCCTGGTTTGGCTTGGAAGGGACCTTAAAGCCCATCCAGTGCCACCCCCTGCCATGGGGACACCTTCCACTATTCCAGGGTGCTCCAAGCCCTGTCCAGGCTGGCCCTGGACACTTCCAGGGATGGATCAGCCACTGTTTCTCTGGGCACCCTATGCCAGGGCCTCCCCACCCTCCCACGGGAGGATTTCTTTCCAAAATCCAGTTTGGATGCTGAACTGGGTGTGGGACTCTGAGGTATTTCGGTGGTGCCACTAAAATACATCTGTGATAAGGAAGAGCTTTTAATTATCAAAACTAGTGAAAATTTGGATACCAACCCCCTCAGATTGTTGGATAGCACATGAGGCACCTGTGGCCAGCTGTGGAAGGTTTGGGCACAGGAAGCACTTGGAATTTTTGGATGTGTCTCCACACCAAGCCTGAGGCAGCACAGACTGCTGGGTGTAGGTACCCACACCTCAGTACCGGTCTGATTCCACTTGATTTCACCTTTAATTCCCATGTGGGGAGAACTACTGGAAAGGGAAATCAAAAATGCGTGGAGAAAACTTCTTGAGATGTATTATTTACCTGAAGTGAAATACCAGACATGTCCCAAACTTCCCCTGAGCAAGGCACCACCGTGTCCAGAGCTGGACGTGCCGCCTTAGTTTGCAGCATCTTTTTTGGAGCTGCTCCTTCATAAATCACTCCATCTCTGTGCATTTGGCAGGTAATTACTGCCTCAGCGAGGCTTCTCTCTTGTGCAATTTGTACCTGTGGAAATGCAAGGAGCTGCTGGAAGCCCTTTCCCCTGCCAGCCCCATGGGCGAGGCTGTTGCTCCCCATCTTTAATTAGGGTGCTGCAATCCCATCCCAGCCCCTTCCATGCCAGGCTGTTTATCCTGAGCCTGGCCTCACTTGTTTCGTGTCAAATTCCCCATGATGAACGTTTTACCTGCATTTTCTCCCCTGGTTCTTTTTTTTTTTTAAGTACCTAAAGCTCCTAAAAATTCACAGAGTGTAACTCATCCTTGAGTACGACCTTGAAATAAAGAGATATTTCTGATTTACTCCATGATTACAAAGCAAAGATAGGAGCTGCCAGAGAAAATAACGGGAACAGCACCCTGGCTGCCAATGGATCTGTTCCTGACCCTGCCACAATTTACCTTCATTTCCTCCCTCTTTGCTCAGTCGTTGTAAAAGAAAGCACAATCTATTGGGTTTTTTTTTGTATTTTGTATTGTTTTTTTAAATATGGATTTGCCAGATTTACCCTATTTTCTGTCATGTAGATATTTCCCCTCTCCTTTTTGTCCTGTTTCCTGAGTTTTTTCCTTTTGCCTGAGCATATTCCAGCACTGAGATTCTTGTTTTGATGCAGAGGGTGCATGTGTTTAATTTCATTTTTAAACCCAGACAAATGTGTGTTGTCAATTGAGGAGGGCTATAACTTACATCAGGCCACACAAAACAATTTCCAGAGCCTATTTTGAGCTTGGATTTCCTTATTCCTATAAAAAGGAGGCCTCGGCTGTCCTGAAACCCCAGGATCAGCAGAGTTTATCAGCTCTTACCTGTCCTGATGGAGCAACTGCTGAAATCAGGGTGGAGCAGGCAGGGATGATGACAAGTGGGAATTCTCAGAGTTAATTCCGACCTCCACCCCTGAATCAGAGCCTTCCAGCCAGGGAGTTCCCATGGAGGTTGCCTGGAGGTATTCTCAAGATTTGGGCTCCTCAAATTCAGGCAATAAATTGCTTATTGGCAGGAATATGAAGGACAAAGTTGATGGTGCTTTGGAGCAAGAGATTTCTTTGGGTTTTCCTCTCTGGGTGTGAGGACAGAGTCAAGAGGAGCCAATTTCCTTTTATCTGTTCCTGGTGGAGTCGTGGGATAAGCTCAGATCCAGCCTTTGGAGCACCTCAGGAGGCATCAGACCTCACAGACCCTGAATTCTCAATTTTCTGGGATTATTCTCCCTGAACATTTCATTAATTTCAGCTCCTTGAATCCCTTGACCTCAACAAGTTTGCAGCAGGGCTGCTTTGGGTGGTTTGATGTTGGATCTGAGAATCTGCATTTTGAGCCCAGCTTTGCTCCTCACTTCCCAGCTTTTAGTTTGTGGTAGGATTTCAGGTTATTCAGCTGATGTTTGGTGTTTCAGGGAAGAATAATTAAAATTATTTGGGTAGGGGTTAGAGGACAGGGCTGCTTTTGCTGCATGAATATTGGTCATTGTGTGTGATTAAGAGAAAGTTAATTATTCCACATTCTGTAATATTTAATTTGCAAATCTGCCTGTTCTGCTTTAATTTCAGTGCTCAGCCTGGCACATGGCCTCTTGTCCACGTCCGTGCCCTGGGGTGCAGAAATTCATCTGGGAGAATTGTCCCAATTTTGGCTCTCACTGCTGCTGCATGATTGTAATTTGATGTTTGTGTGGTTCTGCTGACTCTCCTACACCTGCTGGGCTTCTTTTACCATGGCTTAAGCAGCTGTGTGATTTTTTTCCCTAACTTCCAAATAATTAGGGAATTAAACTTAGAACTGGAGCATCCCAAGTAAGGATTTTAGATTATGGCTGAATCACAACAATGAGAAAACCATAAAAAAAA